GTACAAGAACATCTAATTTTGGTGCTGAGGCTGACCGTTCTCCTTTTGTTTTCTCGCGATTTGAGCCTGAAAGCGTTCTTGACATGTTCTTAAAGTTGACTGGTAATTATCAATTCGGCGGACGTGACCAGACTTAGTTCCACTGCAAACTGAGTTGTGCTTAAGGTACCGTGAAATAATCGCTTTGTTAATGTTAGAGAATTTCCCTAAGTATTTGAGTCAATTATCCTGTTAGACTACAGTTTTACATTTCTTTTACCTTTATTTGTACTTCTCACCAAAATAAAAAAAAAATTAAAAAATGAGCCGTTCTTAACTGACTATCAGCCTGGGTATGTTCTTACTATGTTCTTACAATTTTGGTTAATCTCAGCCTGAAGGTTCTTAGGTAATCAAGTTAGTACAAGAAACAGCATGGTTTCTGTGGGTTGTTGGGATAAACAACGCTAGTGATACTTCAAAAATCACTAAAAATTACGAGCCGCGAAGCGCTGGGCGAGTGATTTTGGGAAGTTTTGAAATATCACGAGCGAGTTACTTTTTCACCATGTTGTCTTTGGCCCCCATGATGTATCGTCTACAAACCGCTTGCACTACAAGTGTACATTGACATTACTGATTAGTTCACGGGTACAAAAGCGAAAATAGGGATCGTAAAGCTCTTTGAGTTCAAACTAAAGGTACAGAAAGCGTCAATTGTAAGTATGAACTGATCATTACAGCGATCACAACTACTTTTTGGTTATCATACTTTACTTGTAGCAAAATGACAATATGTTTGTTAACTTCAATTACGAATATTTGAGCAATCTCGGATAAAACCTTTGATGAAATGTCATGAGTAAGTTGTTCTTGAATTAGAGGTTCTTACATTTGAGGGCGAGGATTAAGCGCAGCCGGAAATGCATCCACTTCCAAAGCATATAAAAAATTTTGGTCGGTTTTTTCCCCCTCCCTTAGCTAATTGTTTATTTTTTTTTTTCGCCTGCTTTGTTTTAGAGAGTAAGAAGGAGAAGAAAGAGAAGAAAGAGAAGAAAGAGAAGAAAGAGAAGAAAGAGAAAAACAAGAAGAGAGACTCGAAGGATTTAGAAGCGTCGTCAAATGGCTCCACCATGGAAAACGAGGAAAAGGAGGGATCCTCATCAAACTCAAAATCTGTGTTTGGAGTGTTCAGGCGCAGTGGACGGAAAGATAAAAGACATTCAAAGCATGGATCCTCGGACAGCTTGAAGAGGCTAAGTGTCGATTCAACTGAATCTGGTGACAGACGCTCTAGTGGTGTTTCGTTTGATGAGTCAACGAGTGTCAAAGTTTCAACATCTAGCACCGAAGTTGTGAAGGAGATTGAGAAGCCGACGGCACAGAGCGACCGGCCTTCTGAAGTGAAAATTGTTAGTACACCTCATCCAGCTCCGGTGAAAGATAAAGGCGCCGAGAAACCTGAACTACCCCTAGCGGTAGAGATTCTGAACACTGTTGATATTGTGATTGCAAACAATGGAAGAGAGGAAGTTCAAACCAAAAAAGACGAAGAAGAATCAGTTGTAACGCCAGATAACGATCAGGGGAGCTTAAAGCAGGAAGAACCAGAACCTGAAGATTTAATGGAGAGTCAAGTAGGAGAGGCCAACACTAAAGAACACGAGCAACATGAATCAGTGAATGACCAGGTGATGGAGCCCGATAATCCTGATTATGAAGTACTCCTGGAGATTGAAAAGGGTCGTCCTGCAGTAGAAAAAGAAGTCCGTTCGGTGGAAATAGATCACAAGAAAGAAAATCAATTCCAAGTGCAAGTCGAAGAATTTCTTAAACTTGATACTAATTTCGGAGAAATATCGATGTCAGAAGCTAATGATAAGGAGCAAGATGAAAAAAAAGAGAGGAAATCTGTTCACGATTCAGAGCAAAGGTTCAATTTGATCCATAAAGCGCCTCCGTCTAAGGAAAAAGGCACTTTTACCACAAGCACTCTCAAGCAAGAATCAACCAAAGGAATGCAGGTGAAAAAAAGCGATGGTCCCGAAATTCAAGCCCAGTCGAGAGAAATATCGATGTCAGAAGCCAATGATGAGCAGCTATATGAAAAGGAAGAGAAGAAATCTGTTCAAGATTCAGAGCAAAGGTTCGATATGGTCCATAAAACGCCTCCGTCTAAGGAAAAAGGCACCTTTACCACTAGCACTCCCAAGCAAGAATCAACCAAAAGAATGCAGGTTGAAAAAGGGGATGGTCCCAAAATTCAAGTTCAGTCAAGTAATTACGCAGTGAAAGGAGACAAACAGACATCCGCAAAGGAGTTTCACTTTAAAGTTCAAATCGGGAACGACATCAATGATGCAAAGTCGTCTTCAGAACTACTCCTGGTGCAGTTGGTGGAAGTAAACAAGAAACTTCGCATGTTACAAGGACAGTTACTTGAGTTCCGAAAATCTAACGGCATTTTGGCGTAATAACAGAAACTCTCTACTACTGATGCGATCCTCGCTAAGTGGAAGAGGTTTATGCAAGAATTGCGTTTCTAAGTAGAAAGAGACAAGATTTGCATGTTTTATGTCAAGTTTAATGTAGTAACCCTTTATATCAAGATGCTACCCTGTAGAAAGGTTTGCTTTGATCACTGGCTTCTGTTTTGTGATTGGTTAGGTTCTTTACATGCGCTTTAAATTAGGTAACATATTTCTCCAAAACTGGCTCAGTAGAAGTGCAATTGTTTTTTTCTTTTCTATGTTATTTGAGTTTGCATTAGTATTTGTCTTTTTCTTTTTCTTTTTTTACAAAAAAAGTCGCCTGATGCATGTAAAAGCCTCTTTTTTTTTAGGAAAGCGACTTTTATCAACACTGCTGCGCTAGTTTCGGCCCTTTCTTCTCTTATTCTGAGCTTTTCAATTAGCGATTGCCTTCAAATCTCCCTCTTCAGTGCTCATGAATAATTAATGATGTCCAGGTATTCTGCGCGATGCTCAATAAGCATCAGATTATTCTTAGTCAGGACGGAAACTCGTAATTTTTTTGGCTGTTAGTCTGAACAACGTTGAACTGTAAAACTACTCTGGTCAGGAAGGTCAATTAAAAGCAGTTTTGCATTTTATTGTTTTATTGTTGTCGCAGCTGTTGTACCTTTTAACATAGTTAATAGAGGGGACTCTGCCATGCAGAAATAGAAGAAAAACTGAATGATAGTTATTCATTGTTAAGTTCAATTCAAGTATCATTTAGCCTCAAGTGATAATGATGTCAATTAGATCTTACATTTTGAAAGATATGCTTTAATTTAGAAGTGGATTATTAAATTGATGTCTTTTGGATGAATTTTGAGACATGTGAACAATATGTAAACAAATTTTGATCTAAAAGTCAGTAATATCTTGAAACACCAAGACTGCTTTTGACATCATTATATAGTTACTGATAATTTTATTGCATAACTGGCATGTGTATAGTTTTAACTAGAGTAATAATTATAGCTTTCGACAATAAATGATAACATGAAACTACAGTATTTCCCTGTTGTGACCTCAAATTATTTACAAATCAAGCGTAAGGTATCTAGCACTGTTCAGTACTT